AAGGATATAAAAATTGATGCTATTTTAAATTAAAATGGAAGGATATAAAAATTGATGCTACTTAAAATTAAAATGGAAGGATATAAAAATTGATGCTACTTAAAATTAATATGGAAGGATATAAAAATTGATGCTACTTAAGATTAATATGGAAGGATATAAAAATTGATGCTACTTAAAATTAATATGGAAGGATATAAAAATTGATGCTACTTAAAATTAATATGGAAGGATATAAAAATTGATGCTACTTAAAATTAAAATGCACAATAAAAACTTTTCACTCCTAGTGATAGCAGCGTAAAGCTACCGAAATATGTGGATATTTTTAATGTTGGCCATCGGCTAAATAAATATTTAATTTCGGATTTTAAACGTTGTTTTTATTTTTATTTTACCCTTTTTTTTGCACAAGTTACCTTGATTGAATTTCTAATTTTGATTAGCGTTACGTTCAGATTTGTATGTAAGTGGAACAAATGGATATTGAAATATTCTAAATCTTTCAAGTACTTCGCTTTTTCATTTATTTAATTTCCCTTTTTTTTTCTTTTTTTCGGGAAGTCTATAGCCACGAATTAGCCTTCGTCTGAACTTTTAACGTTGCTATGATAAAAAATTTAAAATAAAATACTTTATAAAATCGTGTTAATCTCCATAAAATTTTGGGACAACTTCTGTTTTATTAATTTTGAAAAGTCAAATTAGGAATTTTCATGCATACCTCTATTATCACAGGTGTCTCGTATGACTTTCCTACGTTACTGATAACAAATTTTAAGTATTTAAAGAAAATTGTTGAAACTTTTGAGTTTTTTAGTTTACCACGTAACAAATTGTTTGGTTAACTTAGAGTTTACCCTTGTCATCGGCTGTACTTGTCAATATCTAGAACCAGCAGTTTTGTTATGATTTCGTTATCATAAAAACTAATAATAACATTAGAGTTTGTTAAGTTGTATATGTTATGTGAATGAAATAATAAAACGAAACGGAAACCTCTGAGAAAAATAATTTTTACATTATATCACTAAAGAATTAGTTATTTCAGTAGGCTTAAACCAGTTTAATATTATGTATGGTTGTTTGTAATTAAGCACAAAGCTACACAGTGGGTTATCTGTGCTCTGCCCACCACGGGTATCGAAACCCGGACTCTAGCATTGTAAGTTGGCACGCATACCGCTGTGGCACTGGGGGGCAATATTATGTAACCTATATGATTTGAAGCACTGAGAATGTATATGTAAATACATCCAAGATAATATATATATATATATAAATAGAAGCTTTTCAGAGAAATCAGAGTTATTATAAAAGGATACATTTAGCACATGTTGTGTTTTATTTTCTTAAATGTGAAAACTTGTGAAGAATAATTAGTGCATCCAAAAACTGTAAATTGTATATTTCTTTGTAAAATAACATTTACGTATTTACAGCTCAAGTTTAAAAATAACGAATTAGCAATATTTGTGAACAATGATGTAAGATGTGCACACACACATACACTAACATTTTATTTTGTATTGGACACAACTTTTGTACATACAACCGACAAAAAATAATAATAATTGAAACATCCAATAAAAGCTATCGACATAATGTTATTGCTTCTACTCAGAGAACTGACCAGCCAATGACGTTACATACACTCGACTGGCGTTTACAGCTTTGCTTTTGTAAGCGAACATTAAGCGAACGTGAGGGACCTTTAAATCACCAAGCTGCTAAAGTTACTCAGGCATTGACAGAATAATGTTCAAGTCTACGACATTCTGAGCTACTGGAATGTAAAAACATGTTTCTATCTCACTGTTTACTTATCTTCTTTCGCGTAACATTGTTTGAATACTTAAGTCTGAAAGATGACAAAATTTGTGTTGGAAATAATTCAGCCTTATTTTTCGTTTTTGTTCTGTTTCTTCAATATTACTTTGGATCCAAGACTTTCAAAAATGCGATAAAAATCAGTAAATCTTCAGATCATAAGTTTAACTGATTTAAGTTATCAATAGAATCGAATGGTGTTTTTAAAGGTTGGAACTACAACCAAATATTTTTTTTTTCTCCGTTAGTAAAAATATAAGCGTGGTAGATGCAACATTCTTTGAAATATTTTTTTTATAGTTACATTAAACATATATAATTTCTTTGGGTTCTGAAAAAAAACAACAACTCAGGCAGCAGAAGTTTAAACTAAACTTGTTCCACAAAGTATTTATCTGCCTAAACCTAAAATATATCACGTCATTCATTGAATTGTTTCTAATATCGTAGTTTTCTGTAACATATTTTCGTAATTTTTTTACCGAGGTTTTCTCAGATTTTATTGATTTGAATATAATTAAATTAATTACCAACATATTTTCGTAATTTTTTACCGAGGTTTTCTCAGATTTTATTGATTTGAATATAATTAAATTAATTACCAAGATCCATTTGTCACAAAATAAGGGTTTGTGCCAAATATTGTTGCCAACTAGACTGATAATCTCATCATTTTCCCATAAGGCCTCAGGGGATTCATTACACGCGTTTTACGAATAAGGTTAGCCTATTTTATTTTTCCATTGATAAGCTTAGATATAATTTTTTTTGTTCAAATATGCCGTTCGATGAGCCATTGCTCTGGAAATCTAGTTATATTAGAGGTTATTCTGGCCAGAACAAATTTTGTCGTTCATGGAAAAGTTATTAATCATATGTGAATTCCTTGCTTTACTTCAATTATGTAGGTGTTAGCTTGAAAAAGTTGGTTTAAATCTACAACTGACGAATAATCTAAAAACAAGTCCTAACTCATTATTGCTTGTTCAAGTTTTAAACTTTTTACCTCTTATTAAATAAACTCGTTTTTGAAATCAATCAAAACTACACTAATCTAATTAGAAAACACATTACTTCAAATTAAGATACGTTTAGGCTTCGGCTGAGTCTAAATAGATAGGGATAATGGGGAAAAAAGGAAAAGTAATTGGAAATTTTCCCTAGAATTTTCATTGCTAATTAGGTTTAAAGACACCAGTAGCATCGATCCGGAAATGTAAGAACCTTAAAATCATCAGTTTACTGAAGTTCTAGCCTTAAATCCGATTGAATCAAAGAATGGTTTTCGATAATAATTTAATTTCTAGATAAGACAGAACTCTCGAACCGAGAAATCTGTAGCAATTTTGTAACAAGCTAAATAAAGGAAAACAATAAATAAAATCACAGACAGACGTTTGTGAATTATTTACGCTATGAAATTCGTTGTGCTGGTAAACCTTAACAAAAGCGAAACGGTTTTAGTTTAGACAAATTTCAGTGGTTCTCTCAAGTGCCACAACATAAAACACTAATTAAAAATGATTCGAACTTAGGATTCTTACACTCTCGTTTCTTCAACCTCAAGGAAAACAATTTTAATGAACTTAATACCTCATCTTTTTCCTCACAGCTGGCTACTTCAGTCAATCTCCGATGAAGAGTTTCTCTCTCTATATATATGTATATATACACATACATGTATTTCTTCTATTTTCCAATTACACTACTATTCAAAAACACATTCATTGTATACAGTACTGTGTTTTACTATTCATTTCATAACATGTCTAGTAATATCTCCAGTCAGTCTTTTCATCATTTGGTCTAAGGCGTTCTTGCCTGTGTCTCCCTTGTAGGGATTGTTTTTAGTTTTAGATATTTCACCCATTATTTCTGGTTCTGTGTTCGTTTGTTCATCTTGGTTATGGGTGATGGATGATTGCGTGGAAACTGTAATATATTTTTCTTCCTCTAGTTGTCGAACAAGTTCGTCATCAATCCTCTGACGCTCACCATCTTGTTCACTCTCCAAATGACCTCTTTGTGCGATAGGTATTTCATTTTCGTATCTTCCTCCATCTTGAAAACCGATGGTCTGCACGGCTGGTATTCCCTCTTCATCTAATCCGTAGCTCAACTCCTCATTTTTACTTCCCAATTCTTCAGTTTGTAGGACTGGCATTGGTTCTTCTTGAGTATCTTCTGAGGTTATTCTACCTGGATCGTTTTGATAAACATCAGGAAGGTCACTGGCAGAAGGCGCCACTGTTCTAAGGTTTTCTACATTATTATTTGCTGCTAATTCCCCCTCAGCCGCGCCCTCTTCGATAGTCATGTCGGAGGATTCTTTAGGATCTGCATGAACATGTTTTTACCACATAAATTTTAACTATTTTTGGATTGTAAAAATAAATTTGAATTTTTTTTTGTTTAAAATTGTTGAGAATAGTAATTTATTGTGTTTAAAAATATAGGGCGTTCCTCATTAATATTTCTTACAAGATTTTTGTTTCTCAAAACATGATAAAAGGGAAATCCATTGGTCAGTTACACTCCAGCTAATAATAAATACAACTTTTTATTTCGGCCGACGTTTCGGCTTTATCTGAGCTAGTAGTACAAAAACTGTTCTTGTTCTACTAGCCTGATGAAACGGTAATGGCGAAACGTTGGTTGAAACACAAAATTTTTATTATTATCTGTAATGTAAAGGTATTTTTTCCAACTTTATTGGCAAAATGTCTAAATCATTCCAGTATGCACTCCAAATTCTGAAAAAGAACAAAATATTGGCCAACCACTTAATTTGAAAAATTTGTTAAAACTATTTTCTATAAGAAATTCAATCAATTCGTGTATCAAACGTCAATTTCACTGTTATATCTTACTATTTAATAAGGAAACTGAGAGCTAAGAGTAATATCACTAAATAAAAAATGTTTTTTAAACTTATTACCGTAATCTTTTCTCCATAGAGTTAATAAAATACCCTCAACAAGGTCAGACAGTAACATTCTATTAGCGGACTTACAACGCTAGAAACCGAGTTTCGATACTCGTGGTTGGCAGAGCACAGATAGCCATTGTGTAACTTTTTTTATAAAAATTTAAAGGGACAAAAATGAGCTTGTTAGCCCATCAAGGATGTCCCTTCCAGCTCCCAACTATAACCACCCCTTACTACTCATGTATTCATCCAATCTTTTGTTGAACTCAGTTAAATTTTCTGCCACCACCACCCTTGAAGGCAGCTCATTCCAAAAGCCAAACCACCTTGTTTGAAAAGTAATACTGTTTAAACTGCAGACGACTCCTACGCTGCCAAAAGTTTAATTTATGACCTCTTCTCCTATTGTTTTCACTGCTAAACACAAAAACGTTTGATGGATCTGTATTATCAATACCCTTAATAATCTTAAACACATCAATCAAAGGCCCGGCATGACCAGGTGGTTAAGGCACTCGACTCGCAATTTGAGAGGTCGCGGGCTCGAATCCCTCTCACACCAAACATGCTCGCCGTGGGGGCGTTATAATGTGACGGTCAATCCCACTATTCATTGGTAGAAGAGTAGCCCAAGAGTTGGCAGTGGGTGATGATGATTAGCTGCCTTCCCTCTAGTCTTACATTGATAAATTAGGGACGGCTAGCGCAGATAGCCCTCGTGTAGCTTTGAGCGAAATTCAAAAACAAACAAACAAACATCAATCAAATCCCCTCTGATCCTTCTCTTCTCCAGAGAAAACAAGTTCAGAGATTTCAGTCCTTCCTCATAGGACAATCCCACCTTCCCAGGTTATCATCCTAGTGGTTCTTCTCTGAAACCTTCTCCAACAATTCAAAATCCTTCTTGAGGAAGGGAGCCCAAACTTGTAAACAGTACCCTAAATGAGGCCTTACAAGTGATCTGTACAGTGAAACAATAACATCCCTTGTCTTGTTTTCAATATTTCTATAGATGCTACCCAGAATCCTATTAGCCCTATTGCTAACTATAAAACACTGTTTAGATGATTTTAATGATTTTTCGATCACAACACCAAGATTTTTTTATTCAACCACAGTATTTAATGTATTCCCATTTAAATCATAACAATAATTTGAATTGTGAAAACCTACATGCATCACCTTACATTTGGGATAGTTAAACATCATCTATCACGAATTGGCTCAATGCATCAAATACTCTAAACCTCCCTGTAAGTCTGCAGCTTCTTTGATACAGTTAGCCACCCCAAAGATCTTAATGTCATCTGCAAACTTCAAAATTTTGTTAGTCATTCCAGAGTCAATATCATTAATATAAATCACAAACAGCAGAGGACCCAGCACAAACAAACAGTATAATAGTCCTAGCGGTGAGGAATAACATTAAAATCCATTTAGAGCCATAACAATGATTACAAAATACAATTAAAAGTTGAACGTGTGTTAGTTAAACAGGTGAAAATAACTGTGTTATCTTCAATTGATTACCTAAACACATGGATATAAGTCTATTACTAACCATCAAAAGATTCTTCACCACGTTTTAGGATGGTTAACACATCTTCTTTCGCCCCTCCAACTTTCTCCAGTAAGTGGATCTAAAAAAAAAATAAACACATCCCATAATAATGTATGTACTTAAACTGTAATGATTGTCACTGTTTAATTTCTGTAGTGGATATTGGAATGTAAAAGATATTTTAATCCTAGTAATCAATAACTTTATAACACCAAATTTGTTACTTTTCTTCTTTAATTGGACACTCAACGTTTCGCTTTACGGCTTCTTCGGGAATTCCACTAAAACAAAAAACTGTAAGTTTGTAACTTTATTATAGTATTTTTTATATTTAATTAGACGTAAAGTGAATTGGAATGTTGGTTGCTATAGATACAACGCTAAAATTGAACTTGATTACTTGGAACATTAAAAAAAAGGGTGTTCAGACACGTGTAAACGAAAATATATCGTTAATGTTTTGCATTAATAATATAATTTACATAACTTAATTCAGTTCACTGCAGCTTTCACAAAGAAGCGAAATTATTTCAAAGTTAGAACACTTAATACATTTATTTGTAAGAGATGCTTTATCGATTTCCATAAACTTAAGTTTTGGCTAAAATAAAAGGTGATGAAAATTCCACTAGGCTCTTTTAGTTATGTTTATGTTCTGTGTGTAGTTTTTGTCATTTATTGCCAAGATGAGAACAGACATCATAAACAATTTATTCAAATGGTACAAAAATCGTAGATTTAACTTACACGAGCGGGAATCCCCCTTAATTTTCATTAATGGGGATAATCCCCTACCTATTTTAACAACTGTGACATTAAGTCAAAGAATAGATTCTTGTAGAATATATGGGACCCTTCCTCCTTCTCCTCACGTTTTCATTAAGGGGGGTAGTCCCCCTCATATTTCAACAAGAGTAGTATTAAGTCATAGAGTGGATTGTTTTAGAACATATGGCAATCGTTCTCTTTCCCACTCATTTTTGGAATTACAGTTAAGTTCTGTGTGAGCAGGCGATGAAATGAGGTTTCAGAAATAAGAAAAATCCTTTATTTATTTACTTATTTCAATTTTATTCATATGTATTTAAAACCTACATAATTATTTAAAAATTTTATATGCATTTTAATTTTACATGTCATAAGATATTAGCATTAGGCCTATTACATTTTTAAACACTACATTCTTAACCTGTTCTTAATGGATTTTCAAGAACTAGAAGAGTGTATAATAATGGTATTCCAACAACACTATATTTGTCAAATCAACAGCAGTTTAAAAACATTCTTAAAGCAGCCTTGTTTGGAGAAAAATAACAAGTTTGGCCAGAGTATTTCAACTTTCAAAAATCCGATCTTCAATTTTCTATGCTCTCCCGTCCTACAAAGATGGGTTCGGCTCGAAGATTTAGAATTTTAAAAACGGGTTTATCCCTTATATTTAAGGACATTAGAAAACATGGATCAACTTGGAACACAAGGACCATCTGTAAAGCGACCCGTAACAAGTCGTACCCAAACATGTATCTGTAGTGTTTAAAAATGTAATAGGCCTAATACTAATGTCTTATGACAAGTAAAACTGTAATCATTCATCGCCAGCTTGTAAAAATCGTACAAATCAGCGTTACAGCTCAAACTAATAAATGAGGGCGAACCCATATCACTGCTGAGTATTGCAGGGTACCTTTACTATACGACTTACATATCACTACTCAGTATTGCAGGGTACCTTTACTACACGACTTGCATATCTTTGTGCACTTAGCTTAACATGATAATAATAAATACAACAGCACATATTAAAATCGAATTTAACGTTGAAATGCTGAAACCAGTAGTAGCCTTACAATAATATGTTGAGCTTAAAAGATTTTTTCAGTAAAACGCACATACAAACAGCACTGTGCAAAAGTGTTAGGAAAAAGATCAAACATTAGATGTCAGGTTACTTTCAAAGAACAGTGGAAGGTAAATCACAGGTGAAACATTGAAATTTTATTAATCTTCATACTTAGTACAACATAAACTCGGTGGAAGTGCTTGAGTTCAGCAAACAGTTAATATGTTGTGTGTCCCACTTTTGTTTTAATGACTGCAGACAGTCTTTCAGGCATTGTTACAACATATTTAATCAAAGTGTCCTTTGAGATTTTACTACAAATTCTCTAATACACTTCTATAAAGTTTTTTGGAAGCAACTTTGGATTTGTCAAGTTTTTGATCTATCAAATCCCAGATTTGTTCAGTTGGGTTGAAATCGGGGCTCTGTGGGGCCATTGCTTCATTTGAACGACTCCAGAAGCGTATTTGTTAGCTAAGTAATTTCGGCATAGGTTGGATGAAGGTTTGGGGTCATTATCTTCTTGGTAGTAGAATCCTTTACACAAACCACTGGGTATACCATGATGAATCAATATCTGATGGTACTTGCGCTAGTCCATTATTCCATCTATATTGCAAATATCTCCTTTCGCCTCAGCAGAAAAACACCCCCAAACCATCATACTGCCTTCCCCATGCTTCATGGTAGGTGCTATAAATTGGGGTAGGTATCTTTCACCTTTCTTCTGCTGGACGTACAACCTACACTTTGAACCAGATATTTCAAACTTGGACTCATCCGTCTAAAACACCCTTTTCCAATCATCAACAGTCCAGTTTTTGTACTTTTTAGCAAGGTTCTATTGAAGCGGCCAGGCAGCCCTATTAAGGGATACCCCAGTAAAAGGATGGATAAACATAGTCCACTCAACCCAACCTGGCTGAGCTACCACACCTAGCAGACCTCAAATTTTGTGGTCGAATAAAGCATATGAAAATAAAACTCAAACTTTCAACTTGGATTGTTAGAGCGGAAACTGTACATAGCCAAATTACGGGATCCTTCTTGCAGAGAGAAACTTGTGACCATGATCTCTGAAGGTTTTGAAACAAATGAATCCCAAGCAACTCAATCGATCCCAATGCCATGGAACCATTTCAAAACCATTGTATAAGACACAATCACTGCAGAAATTGGCTTCCACAATAAGGGACAAGCCGATTGGTTCGACGAAAACGATGATAACATCCAAGAATTGTTAGTTGAGGAAAGGCAAGCTAAACATGTCTTATTAGATAGCAAGCACACTCAACAAGCCATTAACCAATGGAAAGTAGCTAATACAAAACTCCAAAAATATTTGTGACAAACACGACACAAAAGGTTTTTTTTTGACAGTTTGAAGGTGGTCAGTGGACCAAAGTGTGGAACAACTGTTCTGCTGAAGAGTCTTGATGGTTCCGAACTGTTTAAAAACAAGGTTGATATTTTGCAGAAATAGATATTTTGCTGAATAAGACCTCAGGGATTCACGATGCAGTCCTGGAGCCACAACTACCAATCGATGCAATGCTCAATTGGTAATTCTGGAAGAACTTATGAAGGCAATGAAGATGATTAACTGTGGATAGCACCGGGCTTGGATGGTCTACCTGTCGAAATTTTCAGAAGTGGAGGACTGGTATTAAAAGTAGAATTGTTATACCTTTTTTGTGAACGATGTTGGCAAGCTAGAGAACTACCTCAGGAATTCAAGGATGCCCTAATTGTAACAATCTACAAACGTAACTGAGATCGACATGACTTTGGAAATTACCTAGGTATTTCCCTCCTATCAATAGCACGAAAACCTTTGGCCAAAATACTACTTCGACGGCTACAAAGAATCTCCGAATGTATACTACCAGAAAGCCAATGTGTTTTTCGAGTGAACAGAGCACGACTGATATGATATTCTCTTTGCGGCAAAATTAGGTAAAATGTATAGAACAAAACATGCTGCTGTACGCTGTGTTTATCAGTTTCACCAAAACTTTTGACAGTGTAGAGAGAGAAGCGTCAAGGGCACTGCTTGTTAAAGTAGAAGTTTGTTGCAATTGTTCGCCAATTTCACGATGGCATGAACGGACAGGTATCACACGGGGGGTGCCACATCGGAAGCCTTCCCAACAGTGCATGGTGTCTTACAAGGTTTCGCGTCTTCCCAGCAGTGAATGGTGTCAAACAAGGTTTCGTATTGGCTCCCATGTTATTCACTCCATTTTTTATAGCTGCTATCCTGGATCTCACACCTGCTAATCTTGTTCGGGGAATTTACATCTGCACAGAAATCGACGACGGTCATTTCAATCTTGCAAGACTGAGAGTTCTCATTAAGACTATGGAAATCTGTGTTAGAGAATTGCTGTTTACTGATGATGCGGCGTTTGTATCTAATTTGATAGACCATTCTAGATCACTCTTTCAAAGCATCTGCTGCTTTTGGGCTGACCATAAACATAAAAAAGACCGAAGTCCTCCATCAGCCATCACCTAACTCTCACTATGTAAAACCAACTGCTCTTCTCTCTGGCGATAAGCTAAGCTATCTTTAACCAGTTCACTTACCTCGGCAGTACAGTTGCTAATGCAACAGCCTCGATGCAGAGCTTGACCACAGTATCCAAGCAACAACTGCCTCTTTCTGGCAATTATACGAGAGGGTCTGGAGACAGCGTGGCATACGACCCAAAACCAAGTGCAAATAATATCTAGTCATGGTACTGAGCCCCCTACTATATTCAGCGGAGACTTATATACCTTATCGTTGTCATATAAAGAGATTGTGAGCCTGAATATATCTTGGAAAGGCCGAATCATTAATGAGGAGGTCCTGAAGCGCGCCGACATGACCAGCATAGATTTTAGTTTGTTTGGAATTAAGCACAAAGCTACACAATGGGCTATCTGTGATCTGCCCACCACGGGTATCGAAACCCGGTTTCTAGCGTTGTGAGTCCGAAGACATACTGCTGTGCCACTGGGGGGGGGGCGACTAGCATAGAAGCTAAGCTTCTTAAAAGACAACTGTGCTGGGATGGTCATGTGGTGCGTATGCCAGAACGAAGACTACTTCATGGAGAACTTCGGAGGTTGCACAATAAAAGTGGGTGATGAAGGTTTCACAGGATCGTAGGGCTCGGAGACACGCCTTGCCTACAGTTACTAGCATAGTACAATTGGACATGTGCCAGTAATTTTGGGCTCCGATCATACAAGCCCTGGAAGCACAGTCGACAATTCAAGCGTTGATGGTTTCTTCCCCTCTTCTCTACGTCATCTTCAATTATTGAAAGACTGCCGAAGATGTTTGAAGCTTAACACACTATAAACAGTGTCTGAACATCGTTATATTGTTACATCTATCTCTACTTGTGAAGATTAACACACTGTAAACAGTGTCTGAATACCGTTATATTGTTACATCTATCTCTATTTGTGAAGCTTAACACACTGTAAACAGTGTCTGAATACTGTTATATTGTTACATCTATCTATTTGTGAAGCTTAAAACACACTGTAAACAGTGTATGAATACTGTTATATTGTTACATCTATCTATTTGTGAAGCTTAAAACACACTGTAAACAGTGTCTGAATACATTTATTGTTACATCTATCTATTTGTGAAGCTTAATACAGTGTAAACAGTGTCTGAATACCGTTATATTGTTACATCTATCTATTTGTGAAGCTTAAAACACACTGTAAACAGTGTCTGAATACATTTATTGTTACATCTATCTATTTGTGAAGCTTAACACAGTGTAAACAGTGTCTGAATACCGTTATATTGTTACATCTATCTCTATTTGTGAAGCTTAAAACACTGTAAACAGTGTCTGAATACCGTTATATTGTTACATCTATCTCTATTTGTGAAGCTTAACACAGTGTAAACAGTGTCTGAATACCGTTTATTGTTACATCGATCCCTATGTTTGAAGCTTAAAACACACTGTAAACAGTGTCTGAATACTGTTATATTGTTACATCTATCTCTATTTGTGAAGCTTAAAACACAGTGTAAACAGTGTCTGAATACCGTTATATTGTTACATCTATCTCTATTTGTGAAGCTTAACACACTGTAAACAGTGTATGAATACCGTTATATTGTTACATCTATCTCTATTTGTGAAGCTTAAAACACAGTGTAAACAGTGTCTGAATACCGTTTATTGTTACATCTATCTATTTGTGAAGCTTAAAACACACTGTAAACAGTGTCTGAATACTGTTATATTGTTACACCTATCTCTATTTGTGAAGCTTAATACACTGTCAGTCCGAATACCGTCTGAATACCGTTATATTGTTACATCTATCTCTATGTTTGAAGCTTAAAATACTGTAAACAGTGTCTGAATACCGTTATATTGTTACATCTATCTCTATTTGTGAAGCTTAACACAGTGTAAACAGTGTCTGAATACCGTTTATTGTTACATCGATCCCTATGTTTGAAGCTTAAAACACACTGTAAACAGTGTCTGAACATCGTTATATTGTTACATCTATCTCTATTTGTGAAGCTTAACACACTGTAAACAGTGTATGAATACTGTTATATTGTTACATCTATCTCTATTTGTGAAGCTTAAAACACAGTGTAAACAGTGTCTGAATACTGTTATATTGTTACACCTATCTCTATTTGTGAAGCTTAAAACACAGTGTAAACAGTGTCTGAATACTGTTATATTGTTACACCTATCTCTATTTGTGAAGCTTACACTGTCAGTCCGAATACCGTCTGAATACCGTTATATTGTTACATCTATCTCTATGTTTGAAGCTTAAAATACTGTAAACAGTGTCTGAATACTGTTATATTGTTACATCTATCTCTATGTTTGAAGCTTAAAACACAGTGTAAACAGTGTCTGAATACCGTTATATTGTTACATCTATCTCTATTTGTGAAACTTAACACAGTGTAAACAGTGTCTGAATACCGTTATATTGTTACATCTATCTATTTGTGAAGCTTAAAACACACTGTAAACAGTGTCTGAATACCGTTTATTGTTACATCTATCCCTATGTTTGAAGCTTAAAACACACTGTTAACAGTGTCTGAACATCGTTATATCGTTACAACTAGCTCTATTTGTGAAGCTTAACACAGTGTAAACAGTGTCTGAACATCGTTATATTGTTACATCGATCCCTATGTCTGAAGCTTAAAACACAGTGTAAACAGTGTCTGAATACCGTTATATTGTTACATCTATCTCTATTTGTGAAGCTTAACACACTGTAAACAGTGTATGAATACCGTTATATTGTTACATCTATCTCTATTTGTGAAGCTTAACACACTGTAAACAGTGTCTGAATACCGTTATATTGTTACATCTATCTCTATTTGTGAAGCTTAACACACTGTAAACAGTGTCTGAATACCGTTATATTGTTACATCGATCCCTATGTCTGAAGCTTAAAACACACTGTAAACAGTGTCTGAATACTGTTATATTGTTACATCTATCTCTATTTGTGAAGCTTAACACACTGTAAACAGTGTCTGAATACCGTTATATTGTTACATCGATCCCTATGTCTGAAGCTTAAAACACACTGTAAACAGTGTCTGAATACCGTTATATTGTTACATCTATCTCTATTTGTGAAGCTTAACACACTGTTAACAGAGCTACCATTTTTTTCATTAACTTAACTGATGATTAAATGGTATTTTTGGACGACTAAACCAGAGCTGCCGTACAGATGCTGCCTTGAAGCCCGTGCTTACTTTTCCAGTGGTTAGGAGAACCCTGATATATCGATAAAACATAACGCCTGGTAACCTAGAACTGCTTACAGACAGCGTAGACAGAATTGTTTGTTCGTGCAGAAGAAAATAAGATAATAAGCAACTACATACGAAGAAAAATTATCAAAATTCGTAATTCATAAATTATAGCTCAAAAGTTGGAGTTTTCTCACAAAAATCCCTAAGTTTGATTTTAATCTGTTCCTTAAAAAAATATAAGTAGTTCAATCTATTATAGTGTCGTAACAATTTCCTGTATCTATGGAAACGCTTCCATTCGCCCAGACTGTTTGTTGATAGTGAAGATATTATAGGTATATCTAAATCATTATTTGTCAAAAGTCTGTATGTTTGTGTGTCTCCTTATAACCGGCGAACCAAACCTGGCATGCACGCGAGGACCCCCAGGTGAGTGATCCTAGGTTAACTAGTATAAATATATTTAAAATTAGAGTACACGTTCTTTAGATAAACTTCTCCTAGAGGTTTCAAATAAAATTATTTTTAAATGTGAAAATTAATTTGTCTTGATTGGTTATTTCAAGTTTAGCATCGATGTGTGTATTTTTGGATAGGCATATAATACTTAGATAACTTGATATACTGATAATATCGATTCTCAAAGACGTCATTAATTGACTCATCATCGTTAGTGTTAGCATATAATAATTAGTTTTATTTAAAAATACTGGATGATAACTTAATACAAATCTTTATTGGCGCGATTAGTTTATAAAAACACTGTCAAAAATACACGAAGAATCGTTTATCCCATTGTGTAATATAATAAAAACTTAGAATATTTAAAAACCTTACCTTCTTTAGGATCTGTTTAAGAATTTTTTTACGAAGTATAGACTGAAAAAAAAAATTAAATAGTCACGTGCGAGAAAAGTTATTGAGATAAGAATTACAATTACAATTTAAAACAATTCTTTATTAACTGGCATTGTGGACTTAACAACGATTTTTCGAACCACAATACAATTTTTGTTAACGAGTTTAGAAGCCCTGTTTTTTACAGTACACATGTTTCAGTCACCTAGGTTTGAAAGGGTGCGGGTTACCCTGTTATAGACCTCAGGGTTATGTAACCGGTGACCCGGGTTAGGGTTTTGTTATTGTTCGAATTCACGTGATAGTACAAGATATTAATCACATTTTATGCTATGGGTGCGTTATGAAAGTGACAGTCAATTATTCGTCGTGGATAGTGGGTGCTGCTTACTGACTACCTTCCCTCTGGTCAGTAGTTCAAAATTAGGTACGATGGCGGATAGTCTTCGTAGCTTTGCCATAAAGACAAAATAACATTTCTAAATTTGGATCGTCATTAGACTTGATTATATTATGATACTTGTGTTTTGTTTGTTTGTTTTGAATTCCGCGCAAAGCCGTCCCTAATTTAGCAGCGTAAGACTAGAGAGAAGGCAGCTAGTCATCACCATCCACCGCCAACTCTTGGGCTCCTCTTCTACCAACGAATAGTGGGATTGACCGTCACATTTTAACGCCACACGGCTGAAAGGTCGAGCATGTTTGGTGGGACGGGGATTCGAATCCCCGACCCTCAGATTGTGAGTTGAGCGCCGTAACCACCAGGCCATGCCGGGTCTCTGGTACTTGTGAAAAATCGTTGTTATTTCCCTAGTTGTAAATATAACAATTCAGTTTTAAGAACTTGTATGTCACATACATCAGCACATTTACTTAAACAACAATGAAACAATATACTATCAAAGTAAGTGTATCATAAACTTATGTAATAAAATAAAATGTTCTCAGAAGTTCTTAATGATGACTTATACAACTACTAAACAATTGAAGAATCTTGATCTTAGCTTTATCTTAATTAAACTACAAACACGATGTATTATTTAAATTCTTTAGGTTCAAAGTTAAGTGGTATAGCATCAGAATATTTTATTAAAACTTTTACCACGAGGTGTCACTAAGCTTTGAGCTAATTAACACAGCAACGATTGTGAAGCCTAAACACTTTATAAAACTACATGGTATTACTAATGTATCTCGTACCCTTGTATTTATGAGCACGTGTATAAGTAATTATCATTTTCGGGATGAAACTGGTAAATGGTTTTCATACCTTTGATACTGAGTTTGGATTTACCATTTTCGTCAGTTTAAGAGCAGCTGATGTGGGCGTAGCTGCTGTAGTAACACTTGTCTCCAACAGGTAGTTTCTTGACGGCACTCGAATGTTAGTAGAATTCATTCTAGGGTTTACAGGCTGACTGTGTAGTTGTTGGACTAACTCATCTTCTTCGGATTTGGGTTTCAAAAATGTTGACGTCTTGTTAGTTAGCTTTAAATTTTTAAGCGACATCTCAGCGTTACTGCTTTCGGAATGAGAACTGTGCCGTGTCCAGATGGCGCTATTAGGCGGGGGTTGCACGGCAACAGACTTATGAGCCAATAAATTAGGCTTTAGGCGAGTTGAAGAAGGGCGCTCCATCTCTGCAGCCAGACGACCTAGACGATTAACAAAGGCTTCCAGCCATTGTTTTTCTTTGATGTCTTTAGCTCGATGCAACATATCAAGGGCTTCTGCCAAAAGAAGTGAGGTTTTGTGGGTGAATACCTGGGGATAGCCCTGGTGGACATCAGTTGACGACCCCGGTAGTGATTTATCCTTTAATAAAGAATATTTCTTAACCACATACTGCTTACTGTTGTGTTAATAAAAGATAATGTTGAGCGAAATCAATAAATTATCAACTTTAAAAGAAAGGAATGCTCTGACATAAATAAAAGAATAATCTTCTTCTAGAAATATCCTAGAACTGATCTAGTTAAGATATCTGACACAAATAAAATAATCTTATTCTAGAAATATCCTAGAACTGATCTAGTTAAGATATCTGACATAAATAAAAGAATAATCTTCTAGAAATATCCTAGAACTGATCTAGTTAAGATATCTGACACAAATAAAAGAATAATCTTCTAGAAATATCCTAGAACTGATCTAGTTAAGATATCTGACACAAATAAAAGAACAATCTTCTATAAATATCCTAGAACTGATCTAGTTAAGATATCTGACACAAATAAAATAATCTTATTCTAGAAATATCCTAGAACTGATCTAGTTAAGATATCTGACACAAATAAAAGAATAATCTTCTATAAATATCCTAGAACTGATCTAGTTAAGATATATGACACAAATAAAAGAATAATCTTCTATAAATATCCTAGAACTGATCTAGTTAAGATATCTGACACAAATAAAAGAATAAGCTTCTATAAATATCCTAGAACTGATCTAGTTAAGATATTTGACACAAATAAAAGAATAATCTTCTGGAAATATCCTAGAACTGATCTTTACCTAGTTTTAGATTTTAAGTTAAATGTTGTTTTACCGATACCCTTTACCTCCAACACACTTACTACCCGGTTGGTTTACAGTGTTGTAAAAATATGCCAATAAATATTTCATAATTACAAACTGAAATCCAAGGGAGAGAAAAATATTTTTTTTTAATTCAGAAGTTTGGTTCATTGTATGGTTTTTATCGTACATGTTTAGATTAAGATAAACTAAGATTGTGGTTCGTTATTTATTAATGCTGTATTGAGTTGTTACGATAGTTTGATGGCCATGTTACTATGTCTATCAATATTATCAAAAACCGATAAAGAACTTACTTTGATATTCCTTATAGCGTTGCCATGGTCAACAGAGTAACCTATAAAAACAAATGTTTGTCATTCAAGGAAAATATCCATTCATGATACATATAGACGGCTATATAATCAAATATAAATGATATTATCTGTCAGAAGTTATTTTACAGCTATACTGGACACCCACCTTAACTCGAGTAGTGTAAGCGCTAAATCTTTTAATAAACCACAGAACTCATAAAACTATCAAATATAAACTGAAACTTATGAAATATCAAAGTAATAAGTGAAGTTAATCAAAATATATTATGAGTTTTAAAGCAACAACAAGAAAACATTATAAACTATTCAATAAACTAAGTCAAAGATGCAAAACTTCAACTTATGTTAGATTTATTGGAATAGATATAAGTTGAAGTGTTAGATTTATTGGAATAGATATAAGTTGAAGTGTTAGATTTATTGGAATAGATATAAGTTGAAGTGTTAGATTTATTTGGAATATATATAAAAGTTGAAGTGTTAGATTTATTGGAAAACAGTTGAAGTGTTAGATTTATTGGAATACCATAAGTAATTTTGTTGAAGTGTTAGATTTATTGGAATACCTATAAGTTGAAGTGTTAGATATATTGGAATACCTATAAGTTGAACTGTTAGATTTATTGGAATACCTATAAGTTGAAGTGTTAGATATATTGGAATACCTATAAGTTGAAGTGTTAGATATATTGGAATACCTATAAGTTGAAGTGTTAGATATATTGGAATACCTATAAGTTGAACTGTTAGATTTATTGGAATAGATATAAGTTGAAGTGTTAGATTTATTGGAATAGATATAAGTTGAAGAAGTGTTAGATTTATTGGAATACAAGTACGTTGAAGTGTTAGATTTATTGGAATACAAGTACGTTGAAGTGTTAGATTTATTGGAATACAATACGTTGAAGTGTTAGATTTATTGGAATACCTATACAATGTACTTGTATTCCAATAAATCTAACACTTCAACGTACTTGTATTCCAATAAATCTAACACTTGGGACAACATGATCTTAAATGCATCGAAGGTTCTCATCCCCATTGTTACTTCCTTTCAATGACTTCCTTTTGCATCAACAAAATATTTGCTCACGAAGCATGTGATAAAAACTTTTAAAGATGTATATTTATTAAAATGAATTACATGTTAAGTTTATTTAGAAGACAGAAAAAAAACATTGTATTTATTAATTTTTATGATAATTAAACAATTTTTAAAGTTATTTGCAGTTAAGGCTGCTTTAAACTAAACTGTGACGTTTTAGATATAACAGTTTGAGAAACTGAAGCACCTCTCTATCCGGAGACAATTGTAAAAAAGTTCACTGTTTTCTAGGATACTTTAGAGTTGTAGAAACAAACACGGGTCTCTTTAAAATTACTTTAAAACACCCCTTAAAGATCAGGTTGTAACAAAACCAGATCTGTTTTAAATTATTTAAAAACATTACTTAAATATCATGTTGTAGCAAAACCGGATCTCTTCAATGTGTTTAAAGACATTCCTTAAAGGTTATGTCGTAACAAAACCAGATCTGTTTTAAATTATTTAAAAACATTACTTAAAGATCATGTTGTAGCAAAACCAGGTTAATCAAAAGCCGAGATTACAACACACACGCTGTATAAGGAGCTAGATACTGACTGTTATCCTCCATTAATGACTTTCAGAATCTCGTGATACTAATTGGTAAATAATTACCACTGCTGTCTCCTTTATGTATCACAGTAGCGATAAAAATAACAGACCAATTATACAATTTTGTTTTCAAAGTATGAACGATTGAACGTTTCCAAACAAATAAGTTCTTCGTTTATATATTCGTTAAAAATCTAAAAATAAAAAACACAAACGCAATGCAGGTTAAACAACATCCAACTTAAAATTTAATAAACCTTTAAGAAAAGTAAAGTGATATTCGTTACGAATTATTTATGTTTAATTAATGTAGCATAACCGTTTCTTAAATAAATATTGTTTTAGGCTATATTTTTAATATTCCCCTGTTTTATAGAGGGAGTTTTGGCATGACGTAGTGATGACGCGCAACGCATAGAAATTACATGCGTGTCTAGATTTGCCGTGACGTCTCGAATTTTCATAAAATTTGCGAAAAAACAAATACCACAACATATGCGAAAACACGAGTGACTTAACTAACAATCAGAGAGTTAATCAGTGAGCCAGTTAGTCAGGTAGTGAGTCAGCGAGCCTTGAGTTGCGTTTTAGATAGGAGAGAAACTTTAACAACTAGGTGGCTAATTAGTTTTATTTGTGAGTTAGGCCTATCAACGAATGTAACTTGTAGAGCCTGTAGGTTATGGCGGGAGAAATAAATAACTTATCATTAAGTGAATGGAATTTGTATTTTGTTTACCGAATCATAAAAATAAGCCCGTCCAACAATAGAAACCATTCCATCTGTCTGTATGATTTTAATATTGTTGTAT